CGTGTTAGCTAGCTATATCGCCCGATAGTAAATAACCCAATTCGAATTGCTAGCTAGGTATATCGGGTAGTATATTGAGTTAGCTAGCTAGATCGCCCGATAGCCGATATTTTTTTTCTCCTTGGGTTAATGCTTCCAAACGCAATTAAATTTGATAGTAATTATGATTTATATGTGCTTGATCAATTTAATCGAGTATTAAAATATAATTTAATTAATAATCAATGTAATGTCGATGAATAGTAATTAACAGTAATTCGTTTACTTTTTCTATCTAAATGCTGTACGCTATATGTTCTATGTCTGTATCTGTACTTTAAAAATATTTTAACCACGGAAAAAATCGGTTATCATATAATTTATGCAAGTCCTAATGTATATTATCAGAAATGTCTGGTATGTGGTGGTAACAATCAGCTATTGACATTTCTGTATTAGAAATATTATTCTCTTTCGAATGTTGAAAACCGCAGATCTCTAGATGCTTCCCTAAATGAGATTTAATGACGTAGCCTTATAATATAACCTCACACGCAAAATTTTTCTTTCTATAGACTGATGTATCTACGTCCTCATACTTACTGCAGCAGCTGCAAACAATTACATTTTGTTTATTTTGAATAATTGCTTCGACACTAAGAATGTTGATTTAAAAACATCTGCTTCTTTCTTTCAGAAAAATGAATAAGAAATTAAAATCTAATAACTATAAAATTATTTTTAATCTTTACTCGTAGAATTAAATACTCATTTCCAACCTCTTCCTGTTAAATCTTTGGTTGTTTTTAATAAAAGTCAGACCATATGATTTATTATTCTAGTAGTTACTAGTAGTTAGTTAGTGTAAGAAACAAGCGTTTAAAAAAGTAAATAAGATTCGTACAGATGTATTTCAAATTACGACAACGGTCAAACACGCATCAAAACTATTTTCAACAAAATTCCATCCGTACACCCATGTACAAAATACAAAACGTAAAATTCATCGAATTTCTGGACAAATATCAAATTCCAGATGAAATCTATTCATGTGTCGATTTAACTATTGGCTTGGATACGTTTCCAATTGAAAGAAATATAGAGTCAATTCTAGTTACCAGAATCTTATACTTGTTATTGTAACAATATGGCTAAAATAAAAAGAGCAACACCACGTACTGGTATGTTATTGGATGCCAATGCAACCAGATTACCATTAGCTTTAAAGCCGTCGAATAGTAGCGTGCCATCTTCATCGTGTACAAATGAATCATTATCACCGGTAACAGCTAATATCGATACAAATAAGATGTGTTTTATCAACCTGGTCACCAGATTTGACATCAGAATGCCTGTCCAAAAAAACGACAAAAAAATAAACAATAAGTTAAATGAATAATAGACTCAGACGAACATTTATTGACAATTTTCCGAAAACGAATCCTACTTTCCTTTAGACGTGTTTTAATTTATTGAAGACATAGTAACTTGTGAGAGAAATATGTATAGAATTTTGTTCAAAGACTTTGAAGGAGATATTTATTTACAAGCTAATTTTGCATATCGATACAGCAGCCCTCTTTATCATTCTTGGAAGAACGAGCTTCTTATGCCAAGCATTCAGCAAGAACTAAGCACTTTCGCACTGTTGGCTTTCAAAGGGTCTGTTGATATGATAGTTGAAAACTGACACTTACAAAACTTCTAATATGTTTACTCATAAAGACAGTAAAATCTCCTTAAGCTTCAGTCTCGAAAGTTTTGTATAAATGAACATTGGACGTAGTTTCTCTTCACAATTACAGCCAAATGGACATTTTACTGCTTCGCGTTGTTGAACAGTAAACTTTATACAGCGTATGTAAAATGCATTTTAACCTACTTAGATTTGGTATAAGTTTCCTATTGCAGCACTTCACCAAAAAGAATTTAGTTTTTCCCAGAATAGCGAGCTCTTGTTTGATATTTTGTTTTGGAAAGTCTGGACAGGCGAGAGCTTTTTAAGTGCGTGAATTTTTTCAGTTTTGACCCTTATCGAAGTTTTGAAAAAAATTGTTTTCGTCAAATGTTTTGAGTTTCATCTCGATTCGATCAAGTTTTGGGTGTACATTACCAATATGATATTTATTTTGGATAAAAGCACTTTCGAAAAGAAAAAGCTAGTGATTGACTCAGTCGGTTGAATAGTAAAAAATTTTCATTAAACATTGAAAAACAACTCAGGATGGAAAAGTTTAAATCTTTCTGGATCTAATGGTAAACGTGAATAACATGTTCTTCTGGTGATAATACAGAATTAGCTAATTCATCACGTGTATATAATTTACTTAAAGCTCATCTTGCAAAATCTTTACTACTTGATGCAGACTTATCAAGTAAATTCTCATCATTATACATGTATAATGAACGTAAAAAAAGCAAAATGAGTACCAGTTCAAACAAGTATAAGGTTGCACTTAAAGTAATGTAACTTACAACAGCATTAGGTATAATCTGATCTGTATAAATCAACATATATATCATTCTAAGAATAAATAGTTCAACATAATTCTTTTTTCACTGTACATGCTTCAGTTTCTATAAAGCATTCACTAAACTAAAATAAGAAAGATGTAACTTAACTCATATTTTACTTTGTTCTGATATGTGTAACTTTTTCATGAATAAGATTTATTTGGTTACCCATTGCATTCACTTTCTCACGCTCTAAAGCATGGTAATATTAATAAACCATCTTATAGAAAATTCGACATAGCAAATTCATCGAAGAAATCATTAGACTTCATAAGGCGCCGGTAATTCAAAATTTCAGCACTTTTTATTTTTCGTTTAAACGCACATATTCGGATTCGTTGTATGCTGCTGATTCCGAATCTCGCCTTATTTTTTGGTTTAAACAAAGTTTTGACGGAGAAAAATGGAAAATACTGACAAACTGTCAAAAACTCGGAAAATTTATGTTTTTCGAAAAATTGCCCCAAAAATTTTGCTTTTCATTTTATGAAATTTTCGACGTGATATTCGGATTCCTCGTATGAAAATGAGCCTAAAAAAGTTGTCTCGAGCTCGATCGCATACAACGTCCTCCCTAC